AATCTTTGCTTTATCACTGAATATTTTTCAGCAAGGTGCCACAATCACAACTAAGTCTCTCTCGTGTGATTAAACTTCCCAGAATCTTTTTCTACCATGCATTTTAAGTTGGGGAGGCCCCTGAAGTTTGGCAAGACATATACTTAGTGCCACTATGACCCGTAGGGCAGGGCTCCTTTAATAATAGAATCAAAGAATATTAGATCCCAGGAGTCATCCAGTCCAACCCATTGTCAATGGAATTACTGATGTGATGCAGGATCCCGCAGCTAAGGCATCCTTGGCAAATGGCTATCCAACTAAAAATCTCCAAAGAAGACTCCACCGACGTCTAAGGTAATCCATTCCGCTGGTGAACATCTGCTATCCGGAAGTTCTTTCTAATGTTGGCCAAAACCTCCTTCCTTGTAATTTAAATCCATGGGTTCAGATCCTAACTTGGGGAACTACAGAAAATAAGTTTGCTCCATCTTCCAGGTGACATGCTTCAGGTATTAAAAGATGACTCTCATATCACCTCTCAGTCTATAGCAGGCACAGCAGTGGCAGAAGGAGGGAGCCATTCGGAAAGAGGTTGGGGTGGGCGGAGTGGGAAACGAACCAGGAAGTTCATTACATGGGGGCAAAGTTCATTCATTCGTGAATCATCCCGAATCAGTGAGCCAGCAATTTTTGATGAACTCCCTGGTTTGTTTTTATATATTAGTCCCAATCTCTAATCACTAGCCATGTTGGCTAGAGTAGTGGTCCCCAACCTTGGGCCTCCAGATGTTCTTGGATTTCAACGCCCAGAAATCCTGGCAAGCAGAGGTAGTGGTGAAGGCTTCTGGGAGTTGTAGTCCAAGAACATCTGGAGGCCCAAGGTTGGGGACCACTGGGCTAGGGAATTCTGGGAGCTGTAATCTCAAAAACAACAACAACACATAGCTCTGCTATGTTGGAGGAAAAGGTATTATAACATTTTTGATTGAATTACATCTAATCACACTTTCCAGACAACAAAGGGGATGAAAGGAGTTATCCCTTGCTTCTAGACCTCAAATTCACCCTGCACCATGTCCAACTCATCTCCAGAGTTGTGGCTGCTTTCACAGACACTTAATAACAGAACAAGAAACACCCCAGCAACGTCATGTAGACAGGATCTTGCCATTTTCTCCAAGCAGGAGTCCAGAAGGGAGACAGCTCTAGATTGTAATGACCTGCTGAGTGAAAGCTAGACTGAACTGGCATGGAAATATTCTTAGAATCATAGAAAAGTGAAGTTGGAAGGGGGCCTACAAGGCCATCATGTTCAACCCCCTGCCCAAGGCAGGAATACAATCAAAGCAGATCTGCCAGGGAATTATCTAAGTTTTTCTTGAATGCCTCCAATGTCGGAGTGCTCACCAACTCCCAAGGTAACTGGTTCCATTGTCGTACTGCTCTAATAGTTGGGAAGTTTTTCCTGCTATTCAACCAAAATCTGGCTTCAACTTGAGCCCATTGTTGCGTGTCCTACACTCCGGGATGATCAAGAACAGATCATCAAACTTTAAGACAACTGCCAGTTAGAATCAGGCCTCTTCCTGACCCTCCTGAGTGCTGAGCAAAGCACCGTCCAAGGCGAGTAGTTAGATTGTTCAGAGTCAAGGCCCAGATCCATCAGCTGGAACGACGCAGCTAATCCACATTTTGGACAACTTTTCATCAGATTCGCTCGCACGATTTTTCACCTGCTTTCGCCTCGGCAAAGACGAAAGCAGTCGTGGCCCGTGAGAGTAAAACAACAACGAAACCCATAAGTGGTCAATAACTTTAATTTGGAACAGCTAAAAATCTCACAAAACTGTGTAAGCTTTGGAATTTTTCAGAACATTTTCACAAGGCTAGGGAACACCAAAATATTTAGAAGGGACTGGAAAGGAGCCAAGTAAAAATAAATAAATAAATAAATAGGTCAAGTATTGTTGTGCCTGTGAAGTCTGTTGTTAAACTCAATCCCAAAATGGAGACTTCCGACTGAATGAGTCACTGGTGAGTAGATTATACCAATCAGTGTACGTACATTTTCATCTGGTGTAACACCTTATACCAATGACTTGGGGATATGCTGAAGGACATTGGCCTCCAGATTGCAAGCTGAGCGTATCTGTACATTACTGCCTTAGTTTTTCTCCCTCCCCTTGTTTTCACATGTGGAGCCACAGAAAAGCAGAATACTGTCAACATCGCCCTTCGGTTGGATTCCTGCCATCAGCTCAGTCTGCGATGTCGTCATTTATGGTGTCACAGCGCCCCCTATTGGAACAGGTTTGCTCTTGAACTTCTTCCAGGGATCTGGTATACCATCAGGAAAGCATCCATGAATTTTACAGCATTCTAGATCCAGGCTGATGACTCCGTATACAGTGGACCCTCGACTTACAGACTTTTCGAGTTACAGACTTCTCTGGCCGCAAAATTTAGGTTCGACTTGCAGCCGGAGAATCGACCTAAAGACCAGAAAAAAACAAAAATGGAACAAAAATGGCTGGTTATGGCATTAATTGGTTTTCAATGTATTGTAGGTCAATGGAGACTCGACCTACAGACTTTTCGACCTGCAGCCACCATTCCAATACGGTTTAATTCTGTAAGTAGAGGGTCCACTGTAGTCATCAGCCAAAATCTTACATATTTGCAAAAAAAAAAAATTAATAAAATAAAATCCCAGAAGTGGTGCTGCCTCCTTCGTAGGAGGTCCACTGAATGCCTTGCCAGGCTGTGATGGCACAATCAAAGATGCAGTGAGGCACGTGACCCTTGGCAAAATGCAAAACCCGCTTGAGTCACTGCCCTTTTGAGCACAGAAAAATCCAACAGGATTTACCCCCATTGTCTTTTCTATGCATTGTGCTGCATCCACGTTACACACAGAACAGGGTCAAACGAGCACTGAAGAATTGGCTCTTCCACCAGGCTTTCCCTGAGCATTAAGTTTCTGAAATCTCAACCTCCCTTTTACCATCCTTTTTATCACCCTTTCATCATCCTTTTTACCATTTTCGTAACCATCTGTTTTAATTTATCCTGCTGGTTATTTTATTCGTTTGAATGCATGTATAATTTTATTTTTATCATATTTTGATATTGTGTTGTTTACCTTGTTGTTAGCTGCCCAGAGTGGCCTGGTTGCCAGATGGTATGGGGAAGAAATTAATGAATTGAATGAATGAATGAATGAATAATGAAAGAAAGAAAGAATGAATGCATAAATGAATAAGAACCAGCCTGGAATTTCTTACCAGAAACTAGAAAATTTTGGACGACCATTCTTAAGAGCCTAGAAAAAACTGGACTAGGATCAGTGGGGTTTTAATAATGATCATGAAACCTGATCATGAAACCAATAAATAAATAA